TTTTTTTTCTTTTTTCTGTTTTTTCCTACAAGTGCAACTGCCACTCTCAACATGCTATATAAAATTGAAAATAGCAACTTTTGTTTAGGCCGATCAGTTTCTATGCACGCATGTGACTGTAGGTTTCTTTATGCCATGTAAAACCAAATGACTACTAAAAGGATATTGATGCTGCCATGACTTAAAGTGAAAGCAAGAAATATCTTGAACAAGAAAATCACAAGCTCAACAATTCGAATGCATTAAATGAAAGTTGCTATCACGCAGGCTGAGTCTACTACAATATATATAGGCTACCTTCTAGGGTTACCATATGATCTAGAATCCTCTAAAATGATCCAACGGTCACAAGAGGATCAAGGGTTAAAAAGAGAACCAACTCATGCATCGTGCACCATGCAAGGAGACAAAATCTGTCAGGAAAGTAATGGATTGAGCTAGAGGTAATTTATCCAAATGGCAGCATGGCACTCTTCCTTGGTGAGGTAATTAGATTTGGTTTGCTTAGAGCATCTTTAACAACAGGTTTTGGGAGAGGTTTAAAATTGTAAACCTTAAGGTTTACCACTAAAGTGGACAGGTTTAAGGTTTAAAAATTCAAACCCGTTTTCCATTTCCAAACCTCCGGAAAAGCTGTAATAAATTTATTTAAAAAATGAAATAATAAGATTTGATGGGAGTATTGAAAGTCACGGCTCACATCTCCTCCTTTAGTTTGCAGCGCGTGGCAAACACTTACTGGTAATTGTGTGATAACCTTATTGCAATGGATGGCCCACCCCCTGCCAAGCTCCCACTCCTTTTGCCTTCTCTTTATTTTTATTCCATTTATTGTTTTTTAATTAATTGTTAATTCTTGGAGCCGTCCCACTCCTTTGCATTCTCTTTATTTTCATTTGATTTTTTGTTTTTCAATTAATTTTATTCATTGAACATGTAAAACACAACTATTTGCAATAAAAATAAATTTTAATTCTTTTCTTAATGGAAGTGAGGATAAAAAATCTGAATTATTTTTAGAATAATATTATATTTAGTTCTTTTATTTATTTTATAATTATATTAACAAATGTTATATGCTACTTTATTGAATTTCTATTACTTTTGACCATGGTTTTGACCATGCTACTTTATAATTATTTTATAATGTGAAAACTGATATCCCATTACATGGTTTTGACCATGCTTCATAATTTTGGAAAAACAATAAAGTATATGAAAAAATTGAGACAAGATTTTTATTAAGAATACTATTATACTTAATAGCAAGGTTTACCATATATAACTCGTTCTGAATAATCTTTAACTTTTTGAGTAGAAAGTTTTGAATCTTGCCACACTCAAAGATAGGATTATTAATGCATAGAAACAACAAAAGTAGTCTGACTACCTGACTAGATGCAAATCCTTGTTTTGTCTTTTTTTTTCATTTGTTTTATTAGCTCAACGAAAGTTAAAACATGCCACAGTCAAATATAGAAAGGATTAATAATTCATGGAAACAAAAGTTGACTTGTTTCAAATCCTTTTTTTTTTTTCTTTTTTCTGTGTTTTCCTACAAGTTCAATTGCCACTCTCAACATGCTATATAAAATTGAAAATAGCAACTTTTGTTTAGGCGGATCAGTTTCTATGCATGCATGTAACTGTAGGTTTCTTTATGCCATATAAAACCAAAAAAAATTCTATGGAGCCATCGGATGGTTTTCTTATGGAGCCATCCACTACTTAATGTATTGACACCTGTCCAAAGTGTATTTATTGCAGGACACATGTCAATAAACTATTGGTGAATAAGTGTGGATGGCTTCATAAGCCTAGCCATCCGATGGCTCCATAGCAAAACTGATGACTACTAAAAGGATATTGATGCTGCCATGACTTAAAGTGAAAGCAAGAAATATCTTGAACAAGAAAATCACAAGTTCAACAATTCGAATGCATTAAATGAAAGTTGCTATCATGCAGGCTGAGTCTACTACAATATATATAGGCTACCTTCTAGGGTTACCATATGATCTAGAATCCTCTAAAATGATCCAACGGTCACAAGAGGATCAATGGTTAAAAAGAGAACCAACTCATGCATCGT